CGGACCGCGAGATCGTGACCTGGCTGAAGTCGGACGCTTAACCGACTGCGCCACCCAGGCGCCCCAACCCATTCTCCTTTTTAATCCCATCTTGCCATCCTTTCCACAAATACCATTGTACAGCTACCATTTTTTGGAACCTTTTACAGGTTTCTGGGTATAAACTGAATTTCTTCTTGGCTTTTCCCACTGCCAATGTAAAAAGATTAAGCTTTCTCAAGACTGCTGATTTAGTTACCACTCATTCATCTTCTTTCTACATTCCAAAATTTTGTTGCTGTTTTCTGTTTTACTGTTCTTATTGCCCTGTGCCTTTTTAAAAGACGTTTTTGTGAAATTAAATGATAGGTACTAGTTTTATTTGCATTTGGTAACAGACCCTATAATTTAAAATGAGGGGATTTAGGGGTGCCTAGGTGACTCTGTCAGTTAAGCATCTTTTTTTTTTTTTTTTTTTTTTTTTTTTTTTTTTTTTTTTTTTTTTTTTTTTTTTTAGTTTATTTTGAGAGAGAGCCAGACAGACACAGAGAGAGATCATGAGCAGGGGAGGGGCAGAGAGAGAGAATCTCAAGCAGGCCCTACACATCAGCACACAGCCTGACATGAGGCTCAAACCCACATACCTGCTTGGGATCCTCTCTCTGCCTCTCTCTATTTCTCTCTCTCTCTCTCAAAATAAGTAAATAAACTTAAAAAAAAATTTTTTTAATAAATAATAAATAAAATGAGGTGATTTTTTTTTTGAGGGGATTTATTTTTAAATTAAGGATATTTATATAACTTAGCATGCTGGGTAAAGTTAATGAAACCATTGGCAGTTTTTAAATGAAGAAATATTGGTGTAAAAGATACTTTGACTTCTATCTAAATCTTGTTTCTTGTCATTCAATGTAGGCCAGAAGCCTGTCCTATCAGATGTTCATGCGGAACTAGACAGAATTGCACGCAAACCAGTTACAGTTTCCCCTACAACACCTACATCTCCTACGGAAGGAGAAGCTTCTTGAAGATACCAAATAAAGCCATTTATTCAGTTTTCTGGGATAATGTAAACTTGCCTCTGCCTTCTCCTTCAAAAGTGGAATTAGGGAACTGGAGTGCTTTTTCAGATGGACTAAATTTCTTTTTTTTTTTTATTTTTATTTGTGGTTGCCCGTTTTTTATAAAAGGAAGCTATACAGAAGAAAAATTATTCTACATTATGTAGGATTGCTGTTTGCATTGCCACTTTGCATAAGGAAATAATTTTGGATTTTGAAAAACTCAAAATTTATAGATCTGAAATACAGCCACATGATCATACTCTAAAGGCTATTTAAAACATGGGAGGGTTTAGGAAAAGGCAGAAAATAATATGCTTTGGGCATTTGACTGACTTGGAAGTCCAAACTTATTTTAGTTAAGACTATTAAAATCATTTGAAAAATTATGTGTTAGTTTTGCTGGAAAAGAGAAAATGATCAATTGTCAGATTTTCCACACCAACGTAAATATACCACCACACATGGAATATGCTGAGAAAACTACCAGATAGCATTTTATACACTAGTCATTGTTTCAATCCATGATCCTGTAAGTTGTCATCAAAATGGGATTTTAAAATATTGGCCAAGATTCATTCTTTAACTGAGAAGAAAGAAAGCACACTGCCTAAATGCATAAAAGAAAAATGCAGAGGTTATTAAAATGTAAAGAGGTAACAGTCTTTGGATTTGTTTATCTATATCTGTATTGATATATAGATATAGATATATATATGGCTCTGCCTTAATATACCCCTTTTTTGTTTGTGACTTTCAACTGTAATCAGTTAATAAAGTATTTATTCTCTGCATTCAGGTTCAAATAACTTGTTGCATTCTCTTATATATAATTTGTATTTATCAGACCATGAATAAGATTCATTAGTATTTTAAGGTGTTTGACTTTATAGGGTTATTAAGCATTCTGATCTTTGTAAGAGACAAGTGAATACGTAAGATTCCTTAAGTTTCCTTAAGTTGGGAGTTTACCTTGATCAACACGTCTTCCCCAGAAGCATGTCTTGAACTACAGAATCTTATGTCAGCATTTCTGGTAGATAAAAATATAGCCTTTTATCATTATTTATTGGGCAGAAGCTGTTTAAAAGCTTGGCGAATGCACTAACACGTAGCTCCTCTCTTACAGGTGAGAACACCTGTTGTTAGTAGTTCCACCTGAATTTTCAATACTGTTTTTAAATGCTAGTTGTAGAACCTTCATAAGAACAATTTGACTTCTTACTGAAGTTCACCTAAAGAACATACGTACATTGAACTTACTGAATCATTACAGATAACTGGGAAAAAATGGCTACTGCCCTTATATTGGCCTTCATTATTACTTTAAAATATATATTCCAAAGATTTTTTTTCAGCAAAAATGTTTCAGGACAACATCCCTACTATCTAACATAATCCTTTCATTAGGAGTTTAAAACCTTTACTTTTAAATAGTATTTGGCTCCTAATAGTTGAATATAAGTGTTAAAATAACATGAGAGGGTAATGATTTGTTTCAAGGTGGGAAAAACTTAGGTTGTTCATGGGCACGGAAAAACTAATTTGTAAAAACATTTTGTTTGAGGAAATGGAAGATGAAAAATGCCTCTGATAGAATCTTTAGTCTGGAAAGGGTTCTGCAGTCATGGTGTTATAAAGACCAGTTTTTCTGAACTAGTACTTTAAGTAAAACTAGTGACAAAGAAAATGGCTGCCTGTGCATCATGTCTGCTGTGTTTGCATGTCTAGACCAACTCATTTTTCTCTGTGTGACATTGGAGGTGTACTAGAATATCCTTGGAATTGAGTCATTAGCTGAAATAACTGTCAGTGTTCATTTTATATGGTATTCAGTTTTAACTAATCTAAAACCTTGTGTTTACTCTGTTTAAACCTTAAACCAATTTTTGACCCTATTTTTTGCAAGGAAATTTGTTTTTAAACTACTTAATTGTTTTTGTTTTGTTTTTAAGCAGTTTTTATTGAGGTATACAGTACAGAAAAGTGTACAAATTCAGGTTATGTGGTTTGAAATACCTCTTAATCAGCGCCACGATCAAGAAAGATGTTACTGGCATCCTGTGTTCTTCTGTGTGCCCCTCATTAGTACCCCTGCCTGCCAAGTGACCACTATCCCAACTTGCACAGGCATAGATAAGTTTTATTTATTTATAATCTTTATGTAAATGGAATCTTAGAGTTTATATTCTTTTTGTGAAAGGTTTCTTTCAGTATTAGTTCTGTGACACATCAACAAATACATGTAGCAGTAATTATCCATTGTCATTGCACCATAATACTCCACCATGCAAATACACTACAATTTATCCATTATGCTACTGATGGAGGTATATCACTTTCCTATTGCTGCTGTAACAAGTTACCAAATTTCAGTTGCTTCAAACACTACAGTTTTATTATTTTACCATTCTGGGGGTCAGAAGTCCAACATCAGCCTAACTTGGGCTAAAGTTAAGGGGTCGGCAGGGCTGGTTTCTTTTGGAGGCTCCAAGGAGCATCTCTTCCTTCCTTTCTAGCTTCTAGAGGCTGCTCGCATTCCTTGGGTTCCTGGTCCCTTCTCCATCTTCAAGACATGGCATCTTCAACCCGGTGCTTCCGTCACATCACTTCTCGCCCTGAACCTGCTACCTCCCTCGTGCCAGCATCCGTGTGATTAACTTGGGTCCACCTGAGCAATCCAATGTAAGCTCCCTCAACACCTCACTCACTCTCCTTACTAGCCTGGTTTCTGAAGAGAAACTGGATATAATTCTTATCTTTGCTTCTCCATAGATTTTTTTTTTCCTTTGGCTTCTTTCAAGATTTTTTGTCGTGCAGTTTGATACACCTAGGCATAGTTTTTGGGGATTTATCCTTAGTGTTCTATGAACTCTCTGGATCTGTGGTTTAGTGTCTTGACATTAATTCGGGGGAAATTCTCAGTCGTTACTGCTTCAAAGATTTATTTTGTTCTTCTGTATTATGTATATGTTACATCTTTGTAGTCTTAACAGTTTTAGAATATTCTATTCCATCCCTCCACCCCCGCCCCCCACCTCTGGCCTTTTGTTGCATTGCTTTTTCGTTTGGGAAGTTTCTTTTAACATATACTGTCACTCAGAGATTCTTTCCTCAGTCATGTCCTGTCAACTAATTAGCCCACAGAAAGCATTCTTCATTTCTGTTTGTTTGTTTGTGTTGTTTGTTTGTTTGAATCTCTATCATTTCTTTTTGGTTCTTTTTTAGAATTTCCATCTTTCTGCTTATATTACCCATCTATTCTTACATGTTGCCTACTTTTTTGTTAGGGCCCTTAGCATATTAATCATAGTTGTTTTTATTTTTTATTTTTTTTATTTTTTTTTATGTTTATTTATTTTTGACAGAGAGACAGAGCATGAGCAGGGGAGGGACAGAGAGAGAGGGAGACACAGAATCCAAAGCAGGCTCCAGGCTCTGAGCTGTCCGCACAGAGCCCTACATGGGGCTCGAACTCACAGACTGTGAGATCATGACCTGAGCCTAAGTTGGATGCTCAACTGACTGAGCCACCCAGGCACCCCAGTCATAGTCATTTTTCAATTTTTGGCCTGATAATTCATCATCTCTGCCATATCTGAATCTGATTCTGACGCTTGCTCTGTGTCTTCAAACTACTTTTTGCCTTTTACTATGCCTTATAATTTTCTGTTGATAGCTGGACATGATGTACTGGGTAAAAAGAAGTCCAGTGAATAGACCTTTAGTAATGTGGTGGTAAGATGTTGGGGAGAGGGAAAGCATTCTGTAGTCCTATGATTAGGTCTCAGTGACCCTGTGCCCGTGGGCTGTGAACTTCACAAGTGCTTCTCAGTCCCCATCTCCACCCGCAAACCCCTACCCCTTAGGTGGGACTGGATGGCTGGATGGGGATCACCAGGGAATTTTTCTCTGATTTTTTTCCCTTCGAGATCCTGATAGAACTCCTGGAGGTAAAAGTCACAAAAGTGGGGGATTCCCCTAGACCAGGGATTTTTAGCTCACAGAATTGTCTACTCTGAGCCACCAGCAGCTTGTCAACTATAGTTCAGGCTTTCCTACCCCGGTACTGTCTCCCTCAGAGGTTTCTGCTTGGGAGTTTCTAGTTAAACAAGTTGTTCTGTGTCCACTTGCCAGTTTCCAATTTGGGGGACAAGGATTGGCCCTGGGACCTCACTTCTCTGACAAATCTAAAAAGAGTTGTTGAATTTTCAGTTCAGCATTTTGCTTGTTAGGGTGGAAAGATGACTTTCAAACTCCTTACTTGTTGGCTTGGAAACTGGAAGTCTGGTTTCACCCTCTCAAAATCCTAATCACATCTGCAAAGTCCCTTTGCCTAATAAGGTAACATTCACAGGTCCCAGGGATTAGGATATGGACGTCTTTGTAGGACCATATTTAGGCCTACCTATAGGATGTTTGGGTGACTTTTAATTTTTCAATTGCTATTGTGAGTTGTGCTGTTACGAACACTCTCAAATGTGCTTTGTGGAAAATAAGTTCTCATTTCTACTAAGTATATGTGTAGATGTGGATTGCTGGGTCCATGGGCTATGTGTATATTCAGCTTTAGTAGATAATGCCAAACAGTTTTATATTTGCAAAATATATATCTAAAGAGTCTAGTATTCACATTACATAAAGAATTCTTACAACTTAATGGTAAGACCGGTAACCTAATGTGAAAATGGCCAAAGGATTTGAATAGACATTTCTCCGAAAAAGATACACAAATGACAAGCACAAGAAAAGATGCTTATTCTTATTAGCAGGTGAAGAAATGCGGATCAGAACCACAGTAAGGTACCACTTCACAGCCAAAACAAAAAATGAGTGTTGGCGAAGATGTGGAGAAATTAGAACATCATACGTCACTGGTGGGAATGTAAAATGTAATACCGGCAGCCACTTTGGGAAACAATGTGGTGGCTCCTCCTAAGATTAAACATAGTTACCTTATGACCCAG